ATATATATATATATATAGTCGTTAATTTCGTTTTAGTATTTAATTGCGATCATGTCCACCATACGCTCCAAATGGTTGTCCAACCCAGTGCTTTCTTTTTGAGTTGCCGCTCAGCTGTAGTTTCGTAGTCGCGCTGCTGTCAAATGAAGTGTAGAGCAAAATCTTTCCTGCTTGAAGTGCCCATATCTGAGTCCTTTCTAACTGGTGAACCTCTGGGAAATTGCACATGCTGAGCGCTGACTGCTGCTGGATTCAGTCCATGTTGAGCGCTTTCGTTTCAAGGTTTTGTCCTTCCATATTGTCCCTTGTAAGCAATGACCATATAAAACATTCGCAAACATCGAATCACAATTTTTTGCGCTCAGTAAATATCGACTCGTCTAGAAGCAATCTGAACAATCGTACACATGGTCGAACAACACGGTTCTCACCATCGGTTTTATGTTGTTTTAGGTGTCCTGCTGTCCTATGACCTCCAGTAGAGGCCTGACAAGAGTGGGCTCAGTAATCCAGGTCGGAACAATCGACTACAGGAGATGGATCGGTGCCGTAAGGCTCCCCAACTGAAAGCACACCGTCCTAAAGAACCTTTAGCAAAAGTAAACAACCCAATATATGTCCAACTCGGAGGGATTGTGCAAAATCTTCCATGAGTGTGTACTTTTCTGAGAAATTACGTCTTCTTAAAAAGTGAGATCAAAGTAGCCGAGTTTCAAAATACAGCCACCAGACTGATTAGATCTGGTAGAAAACAGACTTCCGCTGTTACTTGGTAGTGGCCTAGTCCTCAGGTCGAAGGCTTCAAACTCTTGGCCAAATGGCTAAGTGAACAATCCCCACACCTATTGATAGATACGCTGGCTGGCCTCTGGGCGTCCGAGTACATTTGTTTGTTATTAAAACATATTTTCCAAAGAGAGTGCTGTTTTCCATGCCCAAACCAGAGTGGCGTCAACAGAGAGGTGGTCAACCCTTGACCTGGCAGAGGAGTATGAAGGAGATCACGAAGCGCTTGGGTGCTGTCGGTGCTACTCGTCTTCCAGGATGGGGACCGCGTGATCCTCACTGTGCCTGGTTGGAGACACTACAAGATATGGCTGCCAACCGATGTCAGTGGCGCCCTTGTTGTCAGTTTCTATCCAGGTTGCCTGGGTGAATGTCTGGAGGTATAGGCACCTCGGAATGATTGTGGTAAGCTAGCACAAAGTCCCTTCCCCATCCACCTTTATTCTTTTCTTTACAAGAAGGCTTTCAAATAAATCATGGTTGTGTGGCAGTGAGGCATCGGTCTCGAACACTGATGTCGTGCTGTCGATGATGATGATGACGACGATAGAAACATGTTTGCTTTTCCAGGGAACCAAAGTGTCTGCATTAACATTCGAAATTCCTCTGATACATTCCCCTTCTCTGGTAAAATCATTTTCCGTTTAATCCACATACACCCCGAGCACATGACATGCACACTGCGGAAGCAGAGACATATTGTGTCTCCCACCAGCTGGAAATCGATGGCGTGTAGTTATGGGGTGATGAGTTCCTTACGTTGAAAAAATAAGTTCACCCGGACCGCCAGTTATTAACCTACTGTTTGGAAGATAGAAAGGTCATTTCGTTCAACAAACCACAGCACAAATAACCTGCTACCCACCTTTCACTCAGTTCCCGTACAACCAGCTCAGCATCCAGTCGTGTGAAGCACATTTCAGCGGTTCTATCTGATTCTGAAGGGGATATGAGGGATGAAAGATCTGTGGCCAGGAAATGATTGAGCATATCATTGGAGGGGGGTTGAGCGGTGCTTTTCAACTCGTTCAGTTTGCCTTTTGGACGGCCTCGCCGTCTCTTCTTTGCTCCTCGTTTCTTCACTTTCCCTCCAACAAGTGACTTCTCGGGGACAAGTGGTTTCGGAGACCAGGAATCTTCGAAATGCTCTGAAGGACCTGATGAATCGATGCATTCGGCCAGGAGAGGCGGATCAGATTTGGGCGATAGCTTCGTTTGGGCCTGGAGCGGGAGTGGTCTCAGTAAATATAGTTGAAGCTGTGTTATTTGAGGCTTGGTCTGGTGTGTTCCCGAATTACCGGTCGATGAGTCGTCTTCGGAAAGTCCAGACGGCTGCGAAGAGGAGGACCCTTCAGGTTGACCTCCGTCATCAAAGGACGTTTCGTCGACAAACATAACCGAATCGGTGGGAACTTTGAGCATCGCGGAGGCCCAGCAATGGCAAATCTAATTGGTAAAAAGGAACAAAAGAGGAAAGATTTCACCAAAAGACGTGTGAAAGGCATGAAATAAGCGTTCAATGAGTGACAGGATTACCACCAGTGTAAGGTATCCCATCGGTTCCTTACCCGAGGCATCAAACTGTCACCAGTGCCGGAAACTGGGCAGAAACTGGCGCGAAGTTGTCAAGATTGGCCAGAAATCAAACCAAATAACACATTGTTTTGAACGGTGCTGTTGAGGCATTTAAAGATTTAGGTCACTATCCCGGTGAGGAACAAACGAATCCATGCCTAAAACAGGTGCAAGCAGATCAACAGACTAAAATCAACGACTTCGGACGACATATATACTACTTAAATGCCTCGGGTCAAAGTACCTCAATTCCCATGTGGGAGGTAAGCACCTGCTAGGCGAAAAAGCAAGTTGGTATAATCGACCTCCTCCAAACATTAACATGGCCTTGATGATGAGGGCATAAATCAATACGGAGACACTGAAAGTGACTGCCGCAACGCACCCGCAAAAACCGCAGTTTGATACCTCAATCTTAGTCAGGTGACCAGACCTCACGAAAACGTACCGCTTTCGGCCTCGCTAGTGCTCTTCGAACACCGCCAAAAGTAGCGTGAACAGTGAAAAACTCAAGGGATAAACACATGCCATTGTAACCTAATTGCCCTTGTTTACTGTCCTACGAAGGCTGATCAACTGCCCAGTTCTGGCTAACGCAGCAAGCATCAATTTCGATGCTACTACCGTAGGCACGAGGAGAATCAGCAAAAACAAATGATTGTAGCTACTGTTATGGGAATATTTGTGAATTTCTAACTGAAATTTCGTTCTGTAAGTGCTACCAATCTGGGTTGCCCTTATTGAGAGTCAGTAGTGAGCCTCTCAAGGAACTCAGAGGAGTTTTGAACTTGTGACCTTCCCGGTTAGGAGTTTGAATAGTTAATCGTTTGGCCCCGAGCGGCCGATCAATAACATTAATTAACACTTACACAGCATTTCCAATAAAAACGAAGCAGTGTAGATTGGCTTCACCAACAGAACGAAAACTGTAGTTGCTATCCACATGGTTACTATGGGTTATTACGTTCTTACCAAGCTTGTATCCTCGTCATGCTGTCCCGCTGATAGCCATTCTGTTGGGTTAAACGTATCCGATGCAGAGGCTGAAGGCCTACAAATAGTTTTGGCTCTACAACCATGATTCTGCCTTCGTTTTCCTCGTCGTCCATTTGAACGCTCCTCGGACCGCTTGACACTCGTTCCGTTTTCGAACTCAAGCATCAAAGACATGAGCGGATCAGCGGGACTATAGCGTCGTTTGATGAGCCGAACGAAACCCGACAAACAGGCTGTATCTTGATCCTGGGGAGCATAAGGCACGGAAGGTAAGGGATTTTCCGGATCGGATAGGGGCTCCACAAACGTCTTTCTTTTTGACGAACTCGCACACTTCTTTGTGACCACGTTCCTGGAGGTCAGTGGTTGAACCAGATGGCGTAGAAGTCCACCGACAAGTGGGACCTGGACAGAGAACAGAAACCCTAAAACAGTATATCCGATACGTGGAAGCGGTACAGATTACATCACCAAGAGATGTGTCAAACTGTGACCCGAACGAAACAAGTTGAGAGGTCACTTCCGATTGGTAAAGATCCGCTAGTCTTGTAAGCAGCAGTACGAGATAAATCTGCGTTCACTGCTGCACGAGTCCTCAAAACAACGAATTCGGCAACCCGAGTGAATCCCGTCTCATTAACAGAGATGGACGTAGTCTGGAGAGAACAATATCAGAAGTAGACTGTGCGGGTATTTTTATCCGTTAACACAACAACTAATTAGTCGTTTGGACCATAAATCTGAGTTGTGAGGTCGAAGCGCAATACGACTGCAGGGACTCTACCTCCTGATGGGAACGAGTAACTGTCAGCACCTTGTATTGGTCCCACTAATTCAGACGTGTACGCACACTTAAGATTTTGACCGAGAGTTTTCAGAAATCCACGGGTCTCGTTTTCGACTAGGGGATCCGAAGATCTAAGGGAGTGGACGGAGTGTGGAAGCAAGCTTTTGTGTTTTACATGGACACTATACATCCGTAGTATAGTCCCGAACCTTTCAGTTGCGGCAATATGCTTCTGTCAATGAATAAGGACAGTGCATATTCCGATGAGTCCCTTAAGGTCAACGAACCGTATCTTATCCACGATGGATTTAAACTGTCAGGAGTATTTTAAAACCCAAACAAGGCCATTCGATGGAAGATAATCTTAACGATATACAATTACAATACAATTACTATATATATCCGTCCAGTATATATATATATATATATATACTGGACGGATATATATAGTAATTGTATTCGGCTGGGTCACGTGAAGCTGACAAGTGATCTTCCGACCAAGAGAGACTCAGTGTCCGCATAAAACGATTCTTTATGCCAGGCTTCTGCGTTAGAAACTACCTGAGTTCTTATAAATTCTAGATTGCACTGAATAGATCTGTCTAGAAGCAGTTAAGACGTCAAACATGGTTTCAAGTAGAACATAAGTTTGACGGAAGCCCGGGGACTGCGCCTACCTGATGAGCCCGAACAAGGGCGAAACCGGTCGTGGGCTGTGGATGGATTTTCTGCAACCTTATGTTCCAGTCATCAGTTCAGAATGCAAGACTCACCTGGAACCCAGCTGAATCTCTCGGTTTTAGTGTTTCCAGGAAACTGAATGTGCTGCACCAGGCTGCCTCGTGTTTGAGTCACTACGAAAAACCAAATTAGTTTGCAACTGAGTGTATATTCTCTAATTTCGTGAAGTTTGGTTTCAAGTAGAACATAAAGCTGACGGAAATCCGGGGACTGCGCCTACCTGATGAGCCTTAAAAAGGGCGATACCGGTCGTGGGCTGTCGATGGATTTTCAGCAACCTTGTGAGTAGTACGTTACAAAGATATACACGTCAAACATGTGTCCAGTACCATAAAAGTTGTGCAAAAAAGTACTATTCACATCGTTGTCTCTCATACCACACGGACAGTATCGCCTCACACACGCACTTTGATGATTGCCTCTTCTTTTGACCAAGCAAGTGTATCCGCAGGTTCACACTGAGCAATTTTTTATTGCTCCATTATTCAGGCAGCGAACAAGCTTCTGTTGAAATTTGTATGTAGTGACCCGTCCACCTCTGTTTGTGGTAGGTACACACGACGACGTTTGTTCGTGCCAGCAACACGTCAAGAAAGAACAGCTGTTTTTGTGTTTGAAGATGAGTAAATCTGTGAGCACCGAGCCCGCGGTTACAAAACTGTCCATTGAACGGGGCTTGGACGCTCATTGAACAAAAACCATTCAGTTCCTTCGGTTCTACCGCGAGTAAAACAGTTGGTACTATGAAAACTTTGACCATGTCACATATACATTCGCATCTATTAAAAGAATGTTCGTAAAAACTATTCAATTCCCAGAGAGAGCATAGATTTCGCGAAATACACACATTTGCGCAGCAGTTTGGTTTCCACTGGAGACCTAACTGGATCCCAACTGAATGGCTCGTTTCCGATATATTTCAAATGAATGTATTTCGTGAATCTCGTATAAATCGTTCAAGTAGAACATAATGATGACGGAAACTCGGGGACTGTGCCTACCTTATCAGCCCCGAGAACGGCGAAACCGGTTGTGGACTTGAGAACGGCGAAATCGGTTGTGGACTGTCGAAACATTGCCAGCAACCTTATGAGTAGCGTATTACGTCTACACATATATCGCGATACCACCAATTTCGTACCAAATGAAACATGAGGCGGCCTGATGCAGCACTTTCAGTTTCTCGAAAACACCATACACGAGAGAATCAGGTGGGTTCTAGGCGAGTCTCTGAAAAAAATGTTTGCAAATGAGTGTATTTCGCTGATTTCATGCAATTTTTGTTCAGAGTGAACATAAGGTTGGAGAAAACTCGGCGACTGGGCTTACTTGATGAGCCCGAACAAGGGTGAAACCGGTTGAGGAGCGGTCGAAGAGTTTTCAGCAACCTTGTGAGTAGTTTCATTCAAAAAAGTTCCTTAAAATATTCACATCTTTTACAATATGGGAATGTTGGAACTTTCAAGTATGTCACATATATATCGGACATTCTGTAAAAGGAAGATGCTCGTAAAAAGTGGCTTGATGTCTAAATATAAAATACGCTTGTTCGAGTCATCTATATCTATCTATATTGTGCCGTGTGCTTTGTATTTGGCCAAGTTACCTCACGTTTTCAACTGATCCAGAGTTATCAGCACGTTTGTCAAGAGCTGGAGTCACTAAAAATCGATTCCAACTTGCTTTTGTGTTCCTGTCATGCCCAAATTACCATACAGTATCTTTTGTCTGATGTCGTAACACCGATGTCGGGGTTTCTTTCCTACGCGCCTCCTCCCGATGACGTCTGGAAACTAGGTCGTTGCTTTCCGGTTTAGACGATCAATTTCGATAGAAAATGTATGTACACAAGATCAGATTTGAGCCTGTCAGCTGGCTCACCCGAACTCGCTGTCCAATCAACCGCTTGAGAGAACCTATGCTCGGGCTAAGTTTCTATAGAAAGTCAATCGCGGTGCCCATTATCCGCACAATGATCTCAGCTGCAAAACACTTACAAGTGGAGTTAAACTTTCTACGCCAAAATGTTGTATTTTGTTGCGTATGTGCTCAGACCAAAAACCGTCCTGATCTGCGTTCATATTTTTGCAGCTCACCAAATTTCACTGTTCACTGAAGCAACCATGCCTCTGGCTGAAAAGTCCCCCAGGATGGTGTCCCAGCGTCGCTATGACCCCGATATGCCTAAAAGGGGCTTAAAAGTTTGGACTGCTACTCTCAACTCAATTTCCCAATTGCTTTAGTCCATCAAGGACACGTCATAACTTCCGAAAATTCAATTCCATTGTGCGAATACCGAGCGTTATCAATCGCTGTTCAAATGCCTATGACAAAGATTGCCGCAAAAACTTTTAACCGTATTTTAATCGACAATCTGTGTGTTTGGGGAAAATAGAGCACATTTTTTCGGGCTCAGTGACTGACCAGTTTTTGTAAGGAAGCTGACAGACCTTCAAAGCAAACTATACACGAGACAAAACATAGTCGAGTAACTAGTGACCACTGCTCGCGTCCGGTAGCCCCCTAGCAAAGACAATGTTTTGCCAGGGAACGTGGTAAATTCATGACGTTCTGATTTGCCTCTACAAAGGGGGTGGCTTTAATCCCACCACCAAGCTCTGGTTGATTGAAATAGTCAGCAAGTACTTTTAACACTGCCCAAGTGATGGTTGGAGAAACTACGCGCATACCATCCACTTCAGAAAAGGATCCTGTGGTAGCCGCTTCGGTGTGTCAGAGAGTTTGCACGTGTGTGTGTCCGTTCGTCGTTCCACCATCGATCTGACGCGTGACTTGAGTGGCTGATTGGATGCGTGTCCGATTGGTTGGCTCGCGTGAGCGCTGTGGGTGGACCGGATATGTGACTCAGTTGCTTTGCTCACCTGCCACGAAAGCGGACCAGTTTGGCCGCGTGTGCTCAATACACCCGTGTCCGTACTTACGTGTTCTTCTGGCTTACTGCGAATTACAACAGATTCAAAATCTTTACTCTCCATAGCTAGCTTCACTGATCAATTTAGTTGAACCTGGGGACACGTCTTGCTAAGTAACTCCAAAATACGTCAATAACAACCCAAAGGGGATAACAACTAAACATCGACTGACGAACGACCAGCGCGTTTGGTCCCTCGACAGCATGTGAAGCACATGAAGTTGCTAACCCCACCCCTCGGAAAGACTCACCCAACTTCCGCCAACGGCCTCGATCAGTGCCGGAGTGGCATACACAATTCGCTTCTCTGCTGGGTTCACCACAAGGCCATAGAGAGAACGGCTTTTTAGACTCAATGTTGCCGGGGAATCCGCTCCGAGATCTGTGTATTAAAAAAATTGGAGCGTGACAACGAATATCGGAGGGGAATCAATGGGGATAGAGCCACACGCTTTTGGTTTGAGACATCTTGCAAAGGTTTGTGGAAATCTAAGAAATATTTCAGAATGAGCTTTGAGAGTAATCAGTAGCTTGGAAAACTTCGAAGAAATATGTAAAACTAGACATTGCGAATGAAAATCAATGCAAATATCTTGATAGCCTATACCAACGTGAAGCGTCATCAAAGAGGTTGGGGTAATCCTTTAGTAGTTATGTGAATACACTATGGTGGGCTGATAACCGTTCCCGGATGTGCTTGTCACTAGGAGCTACATCCATGAATCTCAGCGCACAACAGCTATAGCAGAGACGAGTGAGGCCAAATGAACACCCCGTACCCATTGCAAAGTGGAGAGGAAAAGGAAGGAAAACATGCCCATAGTTGTCGAGTCGAAGAGAGGCAACCATACATTTGAGGTCTACAATATGACGTTGTTCCGGCGGTCCAGAACAACACTCTGGCGAACACAATCTGGGCGCTGGCGTGTTTGTTTGTCCTTTACCGCGGTTGTCAGAAAAAGCCGCCTGCAGTATTACTATAGACTGGGCACTCCGGAAGACGTTCAATGGTCAGGCAGAAACGATTGAGAAGAGTCCAGCTCCACATAGTGTTGTGTCTTACTGAGCGGTAGTGCAATTCTGTATCGGTCCCGGGGCTTCCTGCTCCGCCCAATATGACATATCAGAAGGCACGGTAGCTCTGCCCAGGCCTTTATGGAGACAAAGGAAAATTATTACAACTGTATTTATAGGCTAATCACAGTGTTCCACAAGGTCGTGCTAGAATCTTTGTGAGGGAGTGAGAAGCGTCGAGTCAAGGATGCTCGATCCGGATTGGTTGGCATTCTGACCAATCAGGGCATGCCTTCGCTTGGTCCGTGTCCTGCACGTGACACATCCGTCCAAATGATGTGATGTTCGATTATTAGGGACAGGCTGGCCTCCGGACACATAATGCCTTCATCGTTAGCCAAAGGTTATTGAACCCCACACTGGAGATCCTTTAGTACTGCATGTGCCATTTGGCCGAAAACTTCTCACTGAAGAGAAGACCTATACAAAAGCCTCGTAGACTCCTATTTTGAGAGTTTAGGAGTGTTATATCTTGAGGAATCCCGCTAGACGCTTTATGAAAGCCGACAGAAGGTCTAGTGCATTTCAGTTGTGGAAGCCGTCCAGACATATAACCACAAAACAACCCTAAGGAAGCACGAGAGCTAAACTACTGCCAGGCTTCCCACATAGTTTGGAGACCAGGGTGGGGTTCGAGCATGAGACCTCCTAGAAGGCGACTGGCAACTTGACCAATTTGCTACCTCCAACATTTCAGTGCAGTGTTTTGTCTGTCGATGTTTGAATGTTACAGTTGGAATTAAAATGAACGAACGATCAAAGGATTGGCGGATTGAAATTCCCACGGAAATTTACGGAATAAAGTGCACTTCCCTTGGATTAAGGTGGTTCAATCATGTGTAGTGCCTAAGACCTTATCCAGCATTTGATCATCCCAATTTCACGGTTCTTCCATGCTGACAGGGCGCGGTAAGGCACGGTCATGGATATCCTTCACACACTGCTGAGCGTCGATAAGAGGAAAACACGAGTACTGTTCACAACTACTATCAACTATCCGGAATAATCGAGTTAGGGCGGCAGAAGTATTAGTCGTACGATGATGATTCGGATGAAATTTCACCAAATGAGTGAAAATGATGTCATTTGTTGTCAGGACGTGCCCAGACAGGAAAAAAAGCACATGTGCAGAAAGTGACGCACCTCCAAGGTCACCATCGGTACGGCACGTCCGGAAAGTAGGTGAGTTGGCGACTCCAACCAAACAGGGCTTAGCAACATACGACCAGCGTAGTGGGCCTGAGAGTGTTCACGACCGGAACGCAGCCATTGACTGTACGGAACGAACAAGTGAACGACCATATTTGGTCATTTAGTCATCCTATATATTACGCAGACGCTCTGTATGTTTTGTTCTGACAATTCAGCCGTGTCCCCAGTTTCTCTGTCTTTCCCTATCGCGTAGTCGGGCAGGCTCAGTGCAGACATAGCCCATAGACGGCCACCCAAGATATAACATTTGCTAATGTGACATTAGCCCTCATTGGTTAACAGATCTGGGCGAGCATCATTTATGGTGGAGGTCAAATTAGACTTGCTCCAAACCGTTTAGGCAAGGTAAACTTTGCAGCGAATGACCATACTTACGAGGATTGATGTGATTGAGGAAAAATAAAGTATGTCCAGCTATCCGGATGAGATCGGACTTTTCCAAATTCACGGCAGACGACCTGATTGACGACTGATCAACACCGAGTGGGGCGAGCTCACACAAATCGGTCGAAATGCAGTCTTCCAACTCGCCGGTGAATAGTTCGGAAAGGAGGTTGTCCACACTGTTCATTTGCAGACCATGAAGTCCGAGGACTTCAGCTGAAATCGGTAGGGCATTTTGAAGTAGGATCAAGGTTTGGCTTTCACGATTGCGACGAATCTGGGCGGCCAGGCGGGATTTTTCTTTCCGCTGCTCGGCTCGGTAGGCCTTCATATCTGGACGGTTGGAGTATCCTTTACGGAAGGCCTCACACTGCGGTAACGGCCTCCGCACGCGTGAGAGTGAGTTGGAGTGAAATACGGGATTGCTGGTATGCAAGCCATTCAAGGGCGTCCCTTTACAAACGCTTCCACCGGAGTATGCTGAAACTGAAACGCATGGTAAAAGCAATCCTTAAACAAGGGAACCTGGCACCACAACTGGTCCAAGATGGAGTAATTAAATCCTGAGCTCCCCTACGCAACAGACTGACGAAGGCGAGTATCCGCTAATCCCCAATCCGTCAAGTATGCCCTCCTGGATTAGACTCACTGTTCAACACAGCTTTGGTGAGGCTAAGCAAAAGGCACTCCTGTCGATATAATTAGACAAGGAAAATAATCACAAATCTTTGAAACAAAAATTAAACCGTCCTACGATCAAAATCACAACGTTCATCTCTTGGACATGCAACTATGGCTAAAAGTGCTAAATAACATAAGTATCCGACGATGAACACAGTCTGCTTGTGAACGAGGCCAAATTGCTGAAAACACTTAGAGGACCTATTCATTTAGGGGTTTCATTGAACCCTTCCCCAATATACTAGGAAAATGTTCCCTCCAAATCAATAATTTTGTTTGCATAATTCGAACAACGGTCGTTTAACTAGTTGGTCAATTGCGCAAAATCCAACCATTATCTTAGCTACTTACAAGTAGCTAAGAATTGTTGCACGGGAAGCTGGACTTTGAACGAAGGAAGCTACAGACGTCATGCACTACTTATAAGGTCGCTGAAAATTGTTCGACAGCCCACGACCGGTTTCGCCCTTCCATTTCGGGATCATCAGGTAGACACAGTCCCCGGGTTTACATCAACCCCATGTTCTACTTGAACCCAAAGGGTCTCCATTAAGCTTATGTTCTACTTGAACCCGAATTGCACGAAATTAGCGGAATACACTCATTTGCACATCAATTTTGCTTTGCGAGGGACTCACCTGGGGCTCAGTTGAATCTCTCTCACATTCTTCGATTTTCATTTCTTCGTATTTTATCCGACCAGTCCCAAATCCATCGTATAAGGCCATGTATGCGAGAGCGTGAACACCAATTACTTATGATTTGGTTCGGTCGTGGGCTGTCGAAGAATTTCCAGCAACCTTATCTTAATATTTTATCCGATCAGTCTCAAATTGATCGTATTACGCCAAATACCCGAGAGCGTGAACACCAATTACTTTTGATTTGGTTCGGTCATGGGCTAAGAATTTTCAGCAACCTTATGAGTAGTGTATTGCGTCTATACACGTATCGCGATATCTTGAATATCATACCAACTGAAACATGGAGCGGCCTGGTGCAGCACATTCAGTTGCTCGAAAACATCATAAACAAGAAATTCAGCTGGGTTCCAGGTGAGTCTCTTGCAAAACCAAATTTGTATCCCCGCCTGGTTGATTTCCCCACACTTGGTTCCCTTATGTGTTGTCCGGCTGCAGCTGTTCGTCTTTTTTTCCGGGCAGATGACGACCTACTGGTGCACACTTCGTGTTTCACCTGCTTGGTCTGTGCAGCTGTTTGACCGTGTACTGACTGACAAGGTAACCAACCTCCAGATGGAGTTGTCATCTTCAAACTAATCTTAGCTTCACTGCCAAGCACATCCATATGTTGCAAAAAGTACGTAGACTTGAAAAACATGCAGCCCAGTGGAGGCGACGGGATGATGGAATGTATATGACAAAACACAAGGTTACAGAAACAACACCTCCCCCAGTCGGACTAAAGCTGGTCCCGTGTGCTGTCTTGAGTAAATATTTGACATTACCAACATATATCATTGTTTTGGAGTTTTAAAACGGAACAAGGACAAATGTTTCATGCATGCTGAAGGATTTGGTTATCGGTGTGATTGGTGTTCACCTCACATGTGAAGGATTGAATCTGCTGCCTTTTGCAGGAAGAAAGCCCAAGGAATAAACGACAGGTGCAGTGAATGGTGAAAACACGGATGAACACGGGAAGATATTTTTCCCAAGCGCCGAAATTTTTCAGTCATGTGCAGAACCTGCCACTGATAGGGTTCGAAATGTTTACTGTGAAACAGCATTGGATTCAGCCAACTGCAATCTAGATCCCGATGCTTCCTATACCGTGACCATTACTCTATGAATTCTCAATAGTTCCCCACAGTTGCGCACTTTTGCAAATTGATATTGGGCAGAAAGTTAATTACGTCATATTGACTAACCTCTGAAATACGGAAGAATGACATCATACACCGCTCATTGGATGAACATGCGTCTTAAGCCACGGTCTCCCCCACCCGGGCCGATGGAACGAATTTGTTTTTACCTCGATTTAGCCTTGCTTTGATCTTTCTAGACTAACAACAATAAATGCACATTGCGTACACTTCAATCAGAATTGGTAGTTGAGCACTTATTTGATTGGCTGCAGTAAACAGCCCCTCTCAAATTGTAGTATCACCCTTAAGACTGTTTTTTTTCTTTCGATTCCATCCATAAGAACACTAGCCGTGATCGAGTACAGCAGGCAAGATCATGCTGACGCTCATTTTGAACACTACCCGGGCGGGTTTTGTTCTACTACCCTAGATTGCAGACTATCTAGGCATACCCAATAATTTCTTTGGCGTATACGGAAGCCACCGTGGTCATCTGCATTCCAGAAACGCAACCAGTTCACCTGGGTGGCTTTCAGCACAAGTGGGTCCCCAGACTGCTGGTGTGAAAGGCACGGGACAACAAATTACTCGCACGTCAATCCCTACTGGTCTGCTTAGCAGGCCAGTTTTGGTTGATCGCCTAATCCCCCTGGATGGAGACTCTGGGACTTAACTCACCAATGGTTAATGACACTGGCAGAAATGGCCCGATCGCGCTGTCAGTGGAACTCATGCATCAAAGCTATCACATTCAATGCCACCGCCGCCAAGTTTTGGCTGTATGCCCTACACTATCCCACTTTTCTGTGATGGAACTGCAGCAGCTGGAACCAAGGTGTCTATGGCACGCGATTTATAGCTAATAAATTGATTTGATTGATTGATGCCAGGAAATCCATACCATCAGGTAAGGAATGCGACGGCGCACGCAGATCTCTCGAACGCCGAATATTGAGGAGCCTAACTAAAGACCGAGAGCTCTGATGGACATGGAAAGCTCGGCAGATGGAGAAGACTTTTGCTACCAATTGTTTGACTTTTGCTATACTAATTGATACAATCGAGTGTCCCTACGAAACCACCGGCCAGTAAGACGAAAAGTAAAAAAAGGCGGTTCATCAACTCACTCGCATAAAACCCGACTGGAAAGACGGACTTAACGGTCCGAAGAATAGCTTAGCTGACCTTCTGCAACACATCCACTAGATGTTGTGCATACGGGCGAATGGAATGTAAACATTAATCGCCCTTCGGAGGGAATAAAGTATGAAGTATCCGTACTAAAACGTGGGAAGCGACTAGGAACGGACAGTCCGTATTTAGCCCTCCTTAAAGAAGGTAGAGAATCCCTGGTGACCCATCTTACAAAACTCACTGTGCAATATGAAGTGGAGAGAAAGTGCCCGCAGAAGGCAGTACATCAACAGCTATTCCTGTCTTCAAAAAGGGTACGCAGACGCCGTGTGAACAGCACCGTGGTATCAGCCTGGTAGCTGTGGCATCGAAGGTGCTCTCTGGTCTTAACCTTCGACGGTTGACTGGACACAAAGATAGACAGATCGGTAAAACCAAGCTGAGTTCAGCCCTACAAAAGGATGCATCGATCACACTTACACCCTCTGACAGATTCTGGAACAGCGACACTGCTTCTAGCAACAAACGTTGGTGGTCTTTCTTGGCTTAAGATAACCGTTTGGTCCTTTGGACCGTCAGGAACTACAGCAGCGTCTGTGTGACAAATTCTTGGGCCTTTCTAAGGTGATGTACGCTAACTATGGCGGACGTGTGAAAGTCTATGAGAAGCTTCTGTCTGAGTTCACTGCATTAATTGGTAATAGGCAAGGCTATCCCTTTCACCTTTCCTCTTCGTCATTGATACGATTATGGAAGACTCACTACCTGCCTCTAATGCTTGTGGGGTCGAAATGCTCCCAGAGCATTCACTCACAGATATCCAGTATGCGAACAAAATAGCTCTTCTTAAATCTGACGCCAAAGTAAATGATCTAACTATTTCTGCCTCGTGGTTTGGCACGCGATTTACACCTGCAAAGTGCAGCCGCAAGAATGGGTGGGCTCGAACCCCAACCTCATGCTTGCGAATGAGCCGCCTGAGGTAGTAGACAAGTTTGTCTACCCGGGCAGCTCCATCAGTCCCAGTTGTCTAGCCAAAGACGATATTTTCATCCGGATTGGGAAGGCCGGAACAATTGTCGTGAACTTACATCACATATGGCGTAGGCTTGACATCAGCTTGTCCGTCGAGGGTCGAGTTTGCAGTACTGTGGTGCACTCTATATTATTATACGGGTCAGAAACCTGGTCGCTGCGCCCGAGGACGTCAAAAGGCTTTCGGTGTTTTGACCATCGATATCTTCGCAGCATTGCCCGACTTTGGTGGGAACACTGGATCAGTATGTCGAATGGTAACTGGAAGAAATAACTCGCCCACGATAGATGAACTGACCACACTCCGTAGCTTTTGATGGCCTGGTCACGTACTCCGTATGCCAGTTGACCGACCTTCCCCCAACAGCCCATTTCTCACAGCCACGTGAAGGGTGAAAACGAGCCAGGGAAGGTCAAACAATGACTTACCAGCTAAGTTTGAAAGCCATTACCAGCAAACTCGGCTGTGCTGGTCATTGCCACGTCCCTAGCTGGGGGCCTCGAGACAGAACACACCAATGGTTGGAGCCATCGTCTGACATGGCCTAGTCGCGCTGTCAATGGCGCGCATGAATCCAAGTGGTTGCCCTCAATGCATAGCTCCCCTCCCTAGTTCCCCAATGAAAAGTCCACTGAGACGCCTGCAGTTACGCAACATCTACATCACTACCTATGTGTAGCCAACTTATCGTACGTCTCCAAACCATCGGCGAACGAAACTGTGGCAGCCAGAGCTACTGTGGGTCAAGTGCGTGGATTTTACAGCCGAAAATGGTGCGAAAAGTTAGCCGTGAGATACCTGTCAGGCGATTATTTCGTACATAGTTGATGGACACCTAGCCACTCCTGGTGGAGGGGTTGAATTTAGCAGAATAGCCGCTGGCTACCTATAAATTCAACGTTACATTGTGTTAAGATTACCATGAAATAACCACGACGGTTTTTTTCGCGGTTAGTTCAGGTTTAATAAGCCATGACTCGCCGTAGGATATGTCTATGCGACCAAGAAACATCGCTACAATGTTTTCATATAGGAAACTACTGACAAGGTTGCTGAAAACTCTTCAACAGCCCACGACCGGTTTCGCCCTTCCAATTCGGGCTCATCAGGTAGGCGCAGTCGCCGAGNCAGGTAGGCGCAGTCCCCGAGTTTCCGTCAACCTCATGTTCCAACATGAGGCGGCCTGTGTGCAGCACGTTCAGTTGTGGAATATCCCAAGCGAGAAATTCAATTGATTCTCTCGTGAAAACCAAGTGGATTTGCAAATGGGTGTGGCCGTACAATATGCTTGGTCCTTGGGTTTAGCGACGTAAATGATCACGAAATAGTCGCGTTTGCTGGTTATTAGTTTGGATGGTAGACAACCCTGTCATCCAGGTGGATACCATCAGTCATAGCCGAAGCATACTCACTGGGTTCGCCACTGGATGTCCCATGATTGTGTCGTCCGGTTGTCATTTCTCATCATCTTTACTTCGTATACATTGTGATATATATTTCACTGAATATTACCACGTTCTCGTATCATACTGTACAATACTGTTGTGGTTTCTTTCGAAGCGTTAAGTGACTTTAGATGACCATTGTTTTGCGAAACACAGCTGAATGATGACCAGCACTCGCTATTCACATATGTGTGCGTGTGTCTTTTATGGATTATCAAGGGTCATTGGACGACTGCTGTAGGTATCAGCTGAACCTGCTTGAGGTGAAATTTGTGGACCATCATCTGGACAGTTCCACAGTTCCTCTGTTCATTTTCGCGGCTTGGTCCCTCGAAGGTTTACAGCGGATACAGGGACTTAGGCAGATGTGTGTGATTTGGTGCAAACCGCATGTAGCACCGTCTGGGCGCGGGGTTTCATCGGCTTCTTTGAGTGCGATAGGCCCAGCAGGTGACTCTGCAATTACAACGTAACCATGAAACGGTGGTTATTTTAATTACTCGTGCCAATTAGATTATCTTTAGGATCACCCTAGTGTGGAACAATACACATATGCAAAGACACCAGGAGGGCTTCGCCGAGTTGAATTCTATGCAACAAAGGTGATCGTGTCCAGGAGACTTTGTACGTTCTCTCTTTATCACATTACTCATGTATCAAAAGTGAACATGCAGCGGGAAGAATTCCCATGGGAACCACTAATGAGACCGTAAGAAAGAATAGAAAGACAGTGACAGTAAACCCAAATAGAACATTTGCATCTGCTGTTCACAACAGAGAAGTGGAAACTCGTTTTTTGAAGTGTTCTGACAGAAGTCGGGCGGAGACGATCGATGGAGCCAATCTACAGTGGATTTTTTCCATCGTTTCTCATTGGCCGGTTGTTTTGTATGGTGTTTTGTGAACAAATCTCACGTATCGCCGTCGCCAACTGCGATCAAATCTAAACATCGTGCGCGAAATTCTGGGCTCCAGTGGTGATTCCTAGACACCCTGCATTAAATAGTTTTGAATGCTCCGCGTCGTACTTGAAAGCCAAACCAGATGATGTACGTGTCGCGTTCACTGCTTCACACACTTTGATTGTCAATCACTCAGAGTAAATTGTATATTGGTTTTCGTTGGGAGTTACGTACAGTGGTTGCGACGACCCCAACTGAAACCAGGAACCCGAATGTCCGATTAGAGGGTTTGTCTGATTCTGTGGATATCTGCAAGGTTTCCGAGGAATCGCTTGCACAGAGTCACTGGTGAGAACATTTTGGATAACTACCCACAAAACCCGGTCAAACTATATCAAATCTGACATCAAACGTCTGAGCTGTCAAATGTCTACGGTCCACGTGGCCATCAACCAGCGCTGATAACCAATCATGATTGTCTACAATTCGAAGCGTTCCTAAGGTTACTTAATACGGGGACAAAGAGCAGGGAAAGCTGTGCTGAAAGGCCAGTAAACGCTTCTGTAATGGTGTGTACGCTGGTGTATCGATCAGCCACCGATTCTACTGTCGTGTCATCCGAAGGCTGTGTAAGCAACAGCTGAATGTGAGCGGCAATAACGAAGCCAAGCAACGTCCCTCATAGTCAACCCTTATGATGGGTATAGTCCATGTATCTGTGATTTCAGGAACCCGTTAATTCAGGGTTCGAACCCCTGCGAGTGTGGTGTTCCTAGGCTCAAGCAACTGCAAACTGTCTACCTAAATATGGCCAGATGGAACTCGTCTGAAAGACAACTATCCCTTAAACGCGTCTTGGTAGGTACCTGAACAGAACAGGTTGGTTGGTTTACAACGCCCAACTTTGTCTGCAACTCATGTCTCTTCGATAACGAATATTGATCCTGCTGGTAATCGCGTTTTTGTAGTTCCTGTCACCTAAGTGTCATGAACAATTAACAAAAGCAAGCACATTCAGTTGCCTGAGAACATCACAAACAGCTGGGTTCCAGGTGAGTCTCTCGAAAAACCAAATTAGTTTGCAAATGAGTGTATATTCGCTAATTTCGTGCAATTTTGTTTCAAGTAAAACATACGGTTGACGGAAACCCGGGGACTGGGCCTACCTGATGAGCCCTAAAAAGGGCGAAACCGGTCGTGGGCTGTCGACGGATTTTCAGCAACCTTGTGAGTAGCACATTACAAAAAAAGCAAAACTTGTTCTCAAGTTGACGGAACATGACGGAATTTGGGTATGACTTTAAAAGTCACATGTGAACAAGTTTGATTCAGAGTCAACTGCTACAGCAAGAAGCGTTCCACAGTATCTACTCTTCTCGAACAACCCGTCAACGGTCACCGTAAAGGAGTTTTACCTGATCTAGAGAAATTCATCATAAAATGCTATCGCCATGAGTACGATACATGAGCAACATGACATAGCCCACCTGTTCGTTTCTGTCCGACCTCAAAATTGCAATGCAGTCGACGGTTTTTGAGCAATGGCAATGTGCCGTTCGGGGATAATGGAGTGTGCCATCGAGACTGGGTTCGGCACTGTGAGGTGGGTAATGTAGAGCAAGGGCGCGTAAAACGTTCCCCTCTGTGAATCATACGAACAGACCTCGAAATCTCAGCTCCGGTGTCCGACCTGCACAAGAACGATAAATAAGAATTCCAAATCGAACAGAGACAAAAGGAACAGGTGATTGGACGTTATGCACAAATACAAACAATCCCAACAATGAAAGCACTCGAAGCCGCAAAATTCGAGTTTAGCAACAACGGAAAGACCATCAGCACAACGTTTGACAATTGTGTCAGAACGCTTTCGGTGTCCAATAAACCGGGCCTTTATCGTTTCACGGTTCAAAACAGCTGATTGGTTCACCGAACATCCACTATGTTGCGCACAACTTCAACAGATTTCACGTCACAACCGCCACGGATGATCTTCATAGTCCAACCCGTTGCGTAAACTTGGCCCATTCCGATTTCTTTCCAACCTTTCAAGTCTCCAAATCCTACCGCTGAATGTGTGACATACAAACCGAGGAATTTCAACGAACTCCTTTTCGAGACAATGCTGAATGAAGCTTGTGCCTCTCAGCCCATCAGAAGCACATTTATGTGGTGTTTCGGGGATACATGACTTGTCAACTTGCGGCCCTGTTTCGAACCCGGTATGTGAAACAAGCGAGTTGACAGTGCAGCAGACTGATGGGTGGCCTGAAACCGACCACTGGAGAACCAAAATGGCAACCAGCCTCTCAGTAAAAACACGGTGAAATGACCAGAAAGCACTATCGAAATTTCTGGACAGTATCGCAAGCTTCTAGCACAACCCAGTATTTTCGAACCACTCTCATCGAGTAATTGATTCGTTGCTTTTAAGTTCATTTTCTGACTCGGCCCAGCTACCTGCTTACAAGAAAATCACTACACCACGCCTATTAGGAAGGCGAGAGGTCCTGTTAACCTGTTAACCTTGACTTCAGGGAAAAATAAACGTGTGCTGTCACATGATCACCGGTTTGGACGGGTGAACGTCAATCAACGTCTGACGCATTGTTTCACTATCGCTATCATCACATCTGCTTAAGAAAAGTTGGTTGCAAAAACGGGATTCCATCCGGTTTTGGCCATGAGCCAAGCGGAAAAGTAGAGTGACACTGTGGCATTTGTGAATGCCAACTGAGAAGCCAAAGGTATGCCAATTTGGTTTCGCAAGAGACTCACCTGGAACCCAGCTGTCTCGTTTATTAAAAAACGAGAGATTCAGTTGGATTCCAGGTGAGTCTTTCGAAAAACCAAATTAGTTTGCAAATTAGTGTGTTCCGCTGATTTCGTGCAATTTGGGTTCAAGAAGAACATAAATTTGACGAAACCGGTCGTGGAGTTCCTATGAACCTTATGAGTAACGTATTACGTCCAAAAGAATACCGTTGTGACAAAAGACCGAAAAGTAATTCCACTGTTCAGTGCTTGGAGTGCTCGTCGAGATGTCAGCTGGAGTCAAGATAAGCTCTGGTTCGTCTCGGAGACACAACGTTCTGACCACAGCCACTGAAGTGCATTTTAATCACTTCACGGGTGTTACAACAGAATCATATAACGGTAGCTTGAAGCCGGCGAGCACACTGCGGATAGCCTTGTCTCTACCTAAAGGGAAACCAGGCACAGTGACAAGGGCCAACGTCGTATACTAGACAGAATGCAAAGATTGGGGCAGACCATAAGGAAGCTTTCTAGCAAGCTTCTGTCGAAAGACACAACCGTGTGGGAAGATCGGGAGGGGAAAGTGTTCGACTGGAACAACGTCCACATACTAATCCAAGCGCAAACAAAGAATAAAGATGAATCGATGGAACCGTGGTACTCGACTGGTGGTGGAGAAAAGTAGTCCACGACCTCGAGGCTTGAAACGGCACGAGGAACCAGGGGAAGGCCGATCCGAATTCAGATTACCAACCAAACTTACTGGAACACACATTTAAACAACAAATGAAAAAAACACGATTGAAAAAAAGAACGAGGAAGTCCTGAACCGATCAAATCCGAGATCTCCCTGCACAAGAACATCAACTATAGCAAACAAAAAAAAACACAAACAGCAAAGTGAACTCGAGAAAGCCAGACGCGGCAGAAATTCATGAGAAAGGTCACTCTCACGAGAGGCCACACACGAGTTGATGGTCACTCTTTGAGGGGAATGCCATATTCACGGATCTCTCAAGCATAACAGTGGCTTCTGATGGACAGACGCATAAAATGCACATTGTGTTGTAATGTGAGTGCCAATCGGTTACGCCTGAATTCGGCCTGCCAGACTAAGCTATGAGGAGAAGACAGAAGACCAAGAACACGGCTGCACTATCCATCAAACATACTGAGCTAGTGCGTAACTATATATGGGTTGATTGGCCAAATATGGTCACTCGCTTGTTTGTTGTTGTCCAGTGAATGGCGACGTTCGACCCTTTTCACATCCGCTCCGCTGGTCGCACGTCGATTTGGCTGGCGTGTTTTGTACGCTTCACTGACGCACCTGCCATCCGAATCGTGTGGTGACCGATGATGATGACCTTTGAGACTCTGCACGTTCCGGTCTAAACGCGTTCCAGCGCATTGATATTATAGCACATTCTCAAGCAGAAACAGCTTACGGTTGGATTCGTGGTTAGTTGGAACCTATGGGGAAGTACCGAGCTCTCCATCACCTTTGTGTACAAAGCTACTATCTCAGACAAGTCAACACGTTACTGGTGAGCTCATGCTTGCAGTCTGTCAGGCCGAGATGCACTTATCTATAAAAATTGCATCACGTGACGCAAACAAGACACAACCTGTTAAGATGCGATGAAGGCACGTCCACAGTCCTTGAATAGGTAGCGTCCCGGGATTTTCATCGATCTCATTTCAAATTTGAACGCGAAATCGAACACACCAGGATTTATTAACTTATCTAATTAAGGTGAGACCCAAATGAATCTATCAACTAAAACGGAACGTGGTTACCAGGTAATCCGTAAAAGTGTTTTTGACAGCGTTTTACGGGGCGATAAGCGCCCTAACAGGTAGCTGATCAACGTGAACTCTATGATAACGGATCCTAAGGGAAATTGTCAATACCAATTACTTTTCTGCACAACTCGTTTGCTCTGTCCGAAAATTACTTGGTCGTTATCGCAGGAAACTTACTGTTGCTATCAATTAGGGGTGTGTGATAGACACTGCCAGCTATTAACGGTTCGCGCTTGCCACTTGACTTTCCCGTTACCGACCCATTAGCTAAAAATTGATGAAGGGTAGGTAGGGTGTTTGAGCAAACTGCTTGGCCAAGTAAGGCTCCAGGAAATGTTGTTGAATGACACTCAGGAGCGTTTGGAATCCCATCTAACGGATTCAGAAATTCGTCACAGAAAGGTTAAAACAAGTAACAATACTGCACAGATGATTCACAACAATAAGTAGATACCTGCCGATAGAGTTCGATTTGGTGAGCCACTAGTTTACGGGATGCAGATTAGGAGTAGTATGTCCATAGCATGGGGATTCATCACCAAGTTTTCTGGGGAAATGCATCGAGAAGTCTAATGGGGTAAATTCGGCAGCACTGGTTGGTACTCGACGGGATTTTTTGCAGCAGTTTTCTAAGATCCCATGATACCTATGACCGATAACTATAGGCGAACTATGACCGTTTATAGTTTTCTCGCCTTGATGTAGCGATCACTGTTAGGTAAAAAGGTGGGATATTAAGACAAGACAGAATGCGAGACAAGCTAAGTGAGCTCTCCTTAGTTTAAGTCAGTCCCAGATAGATGACATTTGTTGAATAGGTGGATAGCTCCTTCGCCTCAGAAATCGATTTTTTTACCGAATCCGAATCTTTGGATTTTTCGGTCATGGCTGTGCTAGAATGATGCTCTTCTCCTCGGCTTTTTAGGGCCACGAAACTATTCGTGACTTGACTGACCTCAGTCATAACGGCAGCCGGACAGTGTTCTGTTCTATTGGCATCCTGTCCTCAAGTTCGGCTAAACTCGTTACTTGGTCGGCTCAGGTCTTGGACAATAGTGATTTGTGAATGTCTTCTAAGCGAAGCAGCCAGCTTTTGCAAACATAAGTAGGAACTGAATGGATCGCCGTTTTGTATCCATGAGCTTTTGTAGAAAAGTTGCTTTTAGTTCTCCTTGGTTGCCCCATTGATGCGAAGATCAACCTCTACTTCAACTGACTCATTCAATAGGAGGTACTGGTTCTCCAAACTTCGGAATATCGCAAATCTCCATCGGGGAACTCTCCTAACAGATGGACTGATACTGGTTTAACCATCCCACATTAGACAGACGCTGTCCCGATTCCCGTTTGATGAATTTGCCCTGCGTCCCTTTCAGGGTCACGTGACGGAAACTGCCTTTTCCTGAACAGCGTGTGGCAGCACGCTGCGATAAAATCTTTCATCAAGGCAGACCAAGTAACGAATTTAAGGACAGGATGCCATCGGAACAGAACACTGTCCGGCTACAGTCATGACTGGGGTCAGTCAAGTCACGAATGGTTTCGTGACCCTAAAAAGCCGAGGAGAAGAGCATCATTCTAGCACAGCCATGACCGAAAAATCCAAAGATTCGGATTCGGTGAAAAAAAAAAAAATCGAATTCTGAGGCGAAGGAGATATCCACACATTCAGCAAATGTCATCTATTCGGAACTGACTTAAACTAAGGAGAGCTCACTTTGCTTGTCTCGCATTCTGTCTTGTCTTAATATCCCACCTTTTTACCTAACAACGATCGCTACATCAAGGCTCTGTTCCTCATCACTCTCAGTTGGCCAACCCTTCACCTGACTGCAACGCCGTCCTCATTGATTTCCGTGCCAACCTCCCTCCGTCTACTGCGATGCGATAAAACTATAAACGGCAGAGAGAATCCTATGCTGATGGCAAAAGAGATCAACACGCCATTCAGAAATGCAGGGGTCCCAACTGCCATATCATTTTCATCAGATTTCGGTCGACCGTATTTGTTCTTTGGTGACTTTGATTTGGTAAGATAAAACCTGTCATTTCCGCACTGTTATCCCGGACTGAAATAGGCATGGGCCCCCGGGAACTGCTGTTGCAGCAGCCCAGTCACCCACATACTTGACTGTTCGGCTCACAGTAGCTCACTGGATCACGAGACTTGTCCTTTTTTCATACTCACAAATCACGTCACATCAAGGTGACTCATCAGACGTCGACTGTCTGCACCGTCTAGTGAATGTAGCAACAACTCAGTACTGACACCCACGTACACGCAAACGGACCTACACATAGGGAAACCGAACACAGTCAGCACACACAGACTCGCGCGCGCGCAGGGAGCAGGAAGTCAACTGCTGTCCACAAGTCCACGGACAATTATGGAACACGTGTAGCAGCCCTACTGCGGAGAAAACACGTTCCTGCCGTCCGGACTTTCACTAAGGAACTCCCACATAAGATAAGTTCCCCCCTTTTGACTTGCTCCACATTTTATATTGCCTTTATTTTATACATGCTGCAAATCGCTTCCGTAAACTACTGACAACCACAGTGAAGACTTTTATTAGTGCATACTTCTTCTGATTTGTATAATGGACATCATCAGCAACAGTGCACTAACACTTTCACAGATCTGTTATAGATTGCGGCGAAGGGATATCAATATGTTCTGCCTTGCCGAGCATCTCTGCATGTCTGTCAGGTCTAGCTGAGAAAGAATTACCACATGCCCCTCACAAACTGGCATTTCTTCCGAAATAAGTAAACGAGTATGTCCCCACCGAGACAGTTCTCATCCCAGGTTACATTTACAAAACGACAACAGAGTAAAAGAGCTGTGTCCCTTGAAGAGAAGACCTTATGGGACCGACCAAAGGTAGTCTTTTCTTCAAGATTGTATATTTCATGATAGAGTTTCTATTGATTTCAGCTTCGTTTGACCCACTACAAGCGAACTCGTTGGATAGCTGTTTTCTCCAGAGGCGCCGTTACAATACCAAACCAAACTGTCTACTTATGAGTAGACTTTACTCCGTTGCTCGTTACAGTAAAACCAGACTAACGCACAAACTCGTGATGCGTTGAGATGTGATTTGCACACGGTGCTTGACGCTGGTAGGCAACTCAAATGGCTGAGATGATCTTCAAGCACATTTGGGTGACTTTGCTAGAGAAAACAACGTACAAGCGCACAGAATCTGTGTACATGATCTTTCCGATGTTGCATTCGAACGATAACAGTATGACAGTGCTCCTGACCATCACAAGAAACCCAGTTGAAACTGGTTCTTGGTAAACTACACGAGATGCAGTGCAATAATGTACAAAGGAAACGGAGTATCTCCACTCATGACATGCAGGAGTGGCCAGTATACTAAGTGAGGCCAACTGTTTACCGATTACTGGGTTTCCGGAACGAGAGAATCGCACAAAATCAGGACGCCGGTAACACGAGAATAGGCGGTGGCACTTCAGTGGCATTGTCACTTATCTCACGGCAAGTAATTTCGATACACAGACCCCTGGACTTTCTAAAGGCACCCGTTGATGTGCTTTGCGAGGCTAGCACGCAAGTCGCCAAATGGCCGAGCATGTGTAAACAAACATAAACAAAGGTCATTGAATCGGCTCCACCGGTAAAAAAAGCACGCGATCAATAGGACTACAGAGCGCTTGGTTCGTCTGATATCAGCGCACGTGTGACTTCGCGGGCTTGTGTGCTCGTGCACATGTTTGTTTTTCTAACACCTGGTAAAAAGTACTTGGTAGTACAACTTCTCTGAAAGGTCCCGAATCGGGTGACTGGTGGTTGGTCGGATTTACATGGAGTGTCAGGTTCTATAATCAGGATGTGCTCGTACATGCTGTGATTCGATATTCAAGTATGACTAGTAATATGTCCAACAGTATCTCAGAAGAATCGTTGGTCCTGTTAATTGTGGCTTGGGATCATCGTCCGTTGTGGTTGCATGCCTCGTCGCATGACTCTTGTCCCCTCAGCGGTCGGATGTTATCACGGGTAGCTCGGAGTAAATTCGCTTAAATTGTAGGGATATAATCGTACTCTGAGAAAGGCCTTGAAAAGAACGTAGTCCCTGATCAATGCGATCAATCTAGAGATCAATAGCCCTGATTGTCAAATGAAAACCAGAAATGCTCTGAGATCAGTTGCCAAATCCGACTTGCCAAAGACAACCTTTGGGCATCCCAAACCCAACCAGATACCAAAAATCAATACCTTCTCAATAATGTGTTAGTAAATAAGAGGTTAGTGGAATTTTTGTCTCCATCGCTGTCGCCTGAACAGCACCTCTCCTGTCTCGACACGATCATTCGATCATTCTGCTCGTCCGTGCAGGGATCTGAAACGCGGACAACTAACAAGCCAAGTGAGTGTGTCTCCACTGGCACACACTGGACGTGTCCATGGTGAATGTGTTCGCCCGACGGATGAACCGATAACTCAGTAACTGTCTTGGTTGCGTCGGTCACCTGTCAGAATGGCACGGTCCGGTGGCGCCACGGACATACAGAAAATGTCGTGTGATTACTTGTCAGTGGTTCCGGACACTGTGGAGAATTTGTTTTAGGATCACTCCCGTCTGCTCTATTCCGATGAGATTAAATGACGGCGGGACTCGCTACAAGTGCTTACCTGATTTGGTATGTCAATGCAAGACGAGGGTGCAACATTTAACCACGCAATTCATAGAAAAATGAATCGGCGCGCCGGGACAATAATGCAATGTGGTCAGACCCCGAAAGGCCTAGCCATTAGTGTTCATCAAGCGGGTAGGGAGGAATAAATCAATGGCACTACTGCTGGCGATCTCAATTTGTAAACTACAAAACCAGATATCTGCAAAGGTCTTGCAAGTTTTGAACTTGGGCCTAAATAGTTATCGATTTATTCAGACACAACCAGATATCTGCAAAGGTTTTGCAAGTTTTGAACTTGGGCCTAAATGGTTAGCGATTTATTCAGACAGTCTGACGTGTGGTGAGTAGTCAGATCCACTTGACGTTGCCTACCAGTGTCCGGTCAAATTTTAAGCTCATAGATGGGTTATTCTTAGGCTCTTAGTGAGGACTGATGACTGTTCAGTGGCGAGGAGTAACTTTCAGATTCTGCGAATAACTCAACAGCTACTTGGACCCAATTCCACACATCTATCAAACACAGATACAACATGATATCGGAAGCATCATAGCTGATCAGTGTTCTCAAGAAGTTTGAAAGTCACGAGACCACCATACTTTCTGTGAAAAACCAAAATGACTTTTCATACCTTCGTCAGGAGCCATCAGCATCGTACACACAAAAATCCTTGAATAAAATCTCGCCCTAGAGCACTAACCGAGGTTTTGTACGACTCCGTTTCATGACCGTTTTCTCACGATGACAGTTCTGAGGAAATGCTTGTCGGTAGGTCCGCTTGTGCTTCAGCTCTTGGTTGTCGGCTTGACGGTTCGCTTGCTCAGCGCTGTGTGTGGAAGACGGTTGAATTCTTTGTCGCAAACCGTTGATTGAAGCAGAATGAGCGCGCACAGTAGCTAGTTCTGAGTTGATCTGAGGAGCCAGTGAGAGCATCTTGAGCCGTGGGCCAAAGTAGTGTCATTAGATATGTGCTGGGACCTGAAAACAAGAAAGCTAAGACATTATCGGACGTCTGGAATGAAGTAAGTATATCCAGTAAAGTGGTCTGCGTTCGGAAAGCCATTGCAACTGATGAAGCAAGCTACACCACATCTCTTTCCGTGATTCAGGCACGGGAAGTGAATGGGAGATGGTGAGGTGTACGGATGTTCCCTTGTCGCCACATCCAGGATGATAAAGAAGGGCTTATCGAAAGTCCACAGAGAACAAGTCACATAATCGGAATGAGTACTGGACGAATCATTCTAGAATAACTTCCCACGTGTCCCACGTGGACACCAATGCCATAAGACGTTAGAACTGAGTTCTCTCTCTCATCGAAGGACAAGCTGTAGAAAGATACCAGTGCTCAGATAAATTCTAATCGACGTCCAGAACACCAAGAATAAGGAATCTAGCGACCACTTCTAATCATTATATGTGCTTATATGTGAATTTTTGGTTGTTATCTCATCTTGAATGTAGAACCAGTTTGTATTGAAAGACGGTATAGCACAGTAATCTGCCTTGTTCATGATGAGAAACATCATCCGTGTGTGCTCACACGTCTAAGCGATTAACGTCGGTGACTCTCCCTCATACATACCGGGACAACCCTCCTTTCTGTGAACTTTGGTCCTTTTAAGAGGCTCACCAAAGAAACTGCGAATCTATGCGACTCGATAACACACGGAGAAGAATGAAAAGCGCCGAATTAGGTGCACGACATCATTGTCGCGCATGGTCACCGTCCCAATATTCGTCGCGTTGCACTTGTTTGTGGGGATACGCAGTCAAGCTCAACGTAATGGTGCCGAAAAGGCGCATTGCTGAGGTTCAGTGGGTGCTGCTTTCGTTTTAAGGATGGTCGTAACAGAAGTAAGCAGAATATGATTGGTCGAGAATTTACATCAGGCCGTCCCTGATTTGCTGGTGTAACGGTGATACTACTGATGGGGGAGGTATGCGAGTAGTATGTTTTCTTCTTGTGAATTCGCTTTGCGTCTCTTGAAAAGGGAGATCTATTGTGGAGTCGCTTTGTAGCATTCGCTTGAAGTTGAGCAACTGTCAATGAATATCCAGGAAAGTTCAGAAAAACACGTTCAAAGATAAGACGGATATTCAGTTTTTGTAAACAAGATGCCTATGAGAGATTTGCTTCCCTGTCCAATAGTCTGTAACTGTTCCGTTGGCATTTTCTAATAGATAACTCCGCAGCGAAGGCCTTCTTCCTTTCACTGGTGCTCCTTGGGGAATCACGGTATTAGGTTTTCTCTCTACCGGCCAACCAGTTCAAGCGCGCTGATTTCTCTTCTTTGTTGTTTTCACTTTGAAGACTCAGAAATAGCACACATTTTGACCTCCAATCTTTCCGAGCAGCAACAGACTGCCAAGTGGGGACCAGTGACACCAGTGCGGATACCTCTCACATGCAGAATGCCTGAGCACAGCAGTGCTCAGGTGGGACAGCTTCCTTTTGCTGCTCAGTGGTCACCACAGTAACGCCGAGACCACACGACGTAGACCACAAATAAACTTAGCAGCACACTATTTACTAAATTATACAGTCAAATTAATCGCCGAGGTGTTTTAATCCCGTGTTTTGGCGCGCGTTTTGAACCACTAAAATGTAATCTTCTAGCCCTGTTGTAAAGTTCAGGCTGAACTGCCTGGGTTTGTTGACCAGGCCGTGATTACTCTCAGAAAGACAACGCCACATTAAGTCACATTGACTTCTGGAATGAGTTTCAGTGGGACCTGAAAACGATGTCCCTTTCTAACTTTGATCCGGAGATCCAAAGTGCTCCCGATCGTCGATGTCTTCCTAACGTCGCATCACACTCCAAATGAAGTGGCCCGTAAATGGGCATCCATCGATCAGTCGGAATCACCAGAGTTGCTAATAAAGCTGGCCTGACTTCGCCAAATACTGTCACTTGTCCATGCATTTGGTTTCGACAGAAGGCTCAGTTAAACCTAGCTGAATCTCTCATCTACGCTGGTCTACTTCAATCAAATGTGCTTCATCAGGCAGCCTCAAGTTTCATTTGGAACCATATTCGGAATAACGCAATACGCTGTTGTCTAGACGTAATACACTACTCATACGTTTTCAACATCATTATAAGTAGTGTTCTACGTCCAGACAATAAGCTAGCTAGTGTTTTGGCACCCAATCTTACTAGTAAACGTCTCAAGACATGGCGGCGCGCAAGCTGAGCGATGTTCAAGCCTCGCTGGCTGCGGACCATGCTGCACATAGTCGAAAACTCCCCAGAGGATGCTAGTGGAGTGTCTAGCTTACATTTGTCTGTCATTCTACGCTGAGCTTACGGGAGATGATCAATGGCTGTGTCCAATTTTAACACGACACCTAAACGTGATTACGTTATCGCAGCTCAGTAGTTTCGAGAACTTGGTCGCTCCACCCTGAGGGCACAAGATCAGCGTCTCATCCCTGTCCGTTAGTGGCAGTTTTGACTCTGCCTCATTGGCAAACTCTAGCGTCAGCGTGTCCACCTAGTCTAACTCACAAGGAAAACAACACTTCCATGAGTGATGTAAATACGACAGAGACGAGATTGTGTTACGCAAAAGCTTCACACTTTTATTTCACAAAACACCAAGTAAACAGATGTGATGGGGACAGATGAATCCAGATTAGAATTTCTGTGTAAATAAGCCAGGGGGTTGATCAACAGTGTACAGCCGTTCTATAGCCAAATCGAGAGTCGTCAACAGTGCATATTTTACTAGTTCAGAACATATGGGATAGAAACGTAGTGGGAAAAAAAAGTGAAATCGATCGCAGTCAGGATGGTTTTGTACTGTGGGATAGTTTAAAAAAAGATACCGTTACGTGACGGATGCCTACGCACCTTGCATAAAAAACGATCATCTGGTAGCAGGAGAGACAGATCAATGTCCAAAATGATGTCGGATTTGATCGAGCGCCGGCAACCGTGACGAAACAATTCAATTTTGTGTAGAATAAAAAATGTGAACCGAACAAGTCTGTAAACTCGCATGGAATGTCAGTTTAGTCGAAAACGAGTAAATTCCCGTACAGACATACCGACAGTTCGTGGGTTGACGTTCCACCTAAATACCAGTGGTCACTTATCAGTATGAGCATCGATCGAACCGAGAACCAAAAAGTTCCCCAACCTAGCCATTCGTTCAGACCCTTGAGAGGTGAAAACAGAGTAAAAAAAATAGTCACCTGGATTGTGGAAAGTAGACGAAGAATGAGGATAAGATATACCACCTCTCTTGTTCACACATTACGCTTGCTTTGTTGGGCCAGCAACCAGTCGACATAAAAAATACTGAGAGCAGATGACGACCATGATATAGCTGTCCATTTTGGGAGAAACCAGTCTCTGGTAAGATCGATTCCTCGGAATAGTTTTTGGACTTTTGGAAGCAGCGCTTTTGAAAGAGACTTTCGGTAGATCCTTCAGGTGAAACCCTCAAAAGGGGAACAACGTAGTGCGCACTCCACTAGATTTGAGAATTTTCCACCCCTCCATGCATGGCAGAAAGAGTTCTGTGCAGCCAGTCTCTCAAGACATGAGATATGAAAAGAGAACTGTGAGTAACGACCCCAAGTTTTAACTGATCGGTAGCACTTCGAAACCGTCTCCCGTTTGCCGTCAAGATAGGCTTATAAATTTCATTCGAATTATCAAGTAAAGTCATCATAACCATCGGTGTGGCCGCCTTGAATTTCTGTACAGACTATCGGTGGTCGATAGCTTGCGTTTATTCGCTTCATGGCCGGAAAATCATGATGAAGAAAAATCAGCAAATGCGGCTCCTCTTTCCAGACGAGATAGATTTGCGTATACCCCAAGGAAAGCTTCTTCGTCCCTTTGTAATGTACTACTCATGAGGTTGCTGAAAATCCGTCGACAGCCCACGACCACACACATTCAGTTGCCTGAGAACATCACAAACGAGAGATTCAGCTGCAGGTGAGTCTCTCGCAAAACCAAATTAGTTTGCAAATGAGTGTATATTCGCTTCTTCGTCCCTGTTTCTGAAACTACATGTACAGCTTATGAGGAACATATTTGGTATGGGTTCGAACTTGGCAAGCTTCAGTAAAAGGGAAAATCAATCCACTTTTGCGTGTAGTGATAAGAATGATCACGTCAGGACGACAGGGGAATCGATTAGGTCAGGTTGGTACAATCCTCTCAGATGTGGACGATAGCAAACAGAAGAAACTCCCATGTGGAAAGGAATAATGAAGAAACAAAAAGAAAACATATTCGACGCTGTATTCTCAGAAGAACGATTGAGCCCAAGAAAAGTCCGCACGGGCACTCTTCATCATTCAGGTCGCAGATTCTCGAGGGCGGGGTAAGGGAATAGCTCATTTTCCACTGGTGGCCGAACAGTTGAGTGTTCAAACCACTACCCGGGAAGTCACAGTTTCGTGAGATCCACACCGCTGATGATTGCACTGTGCCTCTTCGCTCCTCAGCATAGACTGGCTCCACTTACAGGACAACTTTCCCTCTCCAGAGAGTTGCCCAATCTTCGTGGTACGAAGCATGTCACAGTTAAGTGACGATTCAAGTCCAATATTCCAGTTCGTGTGTTCCAAGACAGCTTACTCCATAGCATGATTTCCGGTATTAATTGAGCACGTGATTCGAGGGTTCTATAGATCACACTTGTAGCGTTGATTCGCGATCATGTGCCGAATGCGAGCACCTCTGGTTCACGGCTTGACAAACAAATTTACTAGTCCAATAGCGTTCAAATTATGATATTAGGTTCACACATACACTTATCTGCATGCCAATTTGGTTTTCAGCGGAATCTTCTGTCTTCTATTTTCTTTTCAAACTTATGAGTAGTATGTTACGTTTACATAATCTAACAGTTTTTCACGCATGAGGAGAAACATTCGACTGTCCAACAATGCGGTTACGCTGGTTATTCCGGTGCATTTTTGTGCGCAAAGACAACTACAGATCGACGATGTT